AGATATCTGTTGCCTGTGCCGAGAGCGAACATAATCTAAGGAAAGAATCCAAGGATAAGGAGGGTCTAGAAGTGTACGGAATGTTGAAGGAAGGAATAGGGTTCAAGGACTACCTACATGGACCAATGGATGCAGCAACAAAGCTTAAGGTCAAATTCAGGACCGGGGACATGGGCCTTCGAGAACGTCGACGAAGACGACGAGTTCGAATGTGATTGCGGCTTCGAATGCGAAGACCGTGTTCATGTAGTCGCGGAATGTCCGTTGTACAAGAAGGAGAGGGAAGTGTACGCGACTGAGCTGGGAAAAATAGATGGGACGTACAGCGAGATGTTTGAGGCATGGAATAGAGAGGAAAGGACGGTAGCTGTACTGGGGCATAGGAGGTGGGTTGAAAAGGCGGGAAGTGATATCGTTGGGATAGACAGACTAGGGAAGACATTTTTGAGCCACCTTTGGCAAAGTAGAATGGAACGATTGGCCATCGGTGATCGGTCCTGTGGGAACAATGCTTCGTCCTCTCGAGGACGCGTGGTCAATGGTCTAACCGCTAAGGCAGCAAAACATGAGAGTACGCCCCCCCCCCCGGGCCGTCGGGGGCCTATCTCCCGGATTCCTGGGTGCTGTGGTGGTCCGATATAGTGCCCGTTACCTTGTATAAGTGGGTGAAATCGCGTGACAAAGATGGAGTATTCATGTTGGTTCATACTCTTGAATAATGCGGCTGCCCGCTAAAATGCCGGTAGGGGATGGGGCACCACTTTGTTAGTTCTCGCGCACGAAACGCTTTGGTTGCTTGCCGCGCCGCCATGATGCTCGCATGGACAAGGCGAATCAACAGCAGTACTTGTAATGCGTTGCACTCTTCGGGTGGAGTTTAGGTCCGAAGGATGGAACGGCGTGTGTCTAGTTTCCGCGTGAACGCGACTAAAACTCGCTCCACTACACCTCCTCCCCGCTCTTCTTCTCGACCCTTGCCTGAACTTGGTGTCTGGACCTGACGTGAGCCTTGTGCATCTGCAAGCTCGACCATCCTTCGGTCGCTTCATGTCAAGTACTAAATATATATATTTTTTCTGTTGCTGGTTTCAACTTGCCTTGATTGATTGCTAGGGGTGGCAGCCGCCGTCGAGGCCCGGGATGGCTCTTCAGGCGACCGGACCGAGCAGGGGGCCGATCCAGCGGGATATGGGGTACCAAGGACAGGTGCGGGGGGTGGGGGTTGCACGATGGGCGGGTGTTTCCACGGATATTTTTTAGATTGTTTGCACGTTTTTCATGGGTGTTTCAACTGCTTGTCTTGCGGCGTAGATGCATGTTTGTTCACGCTCTATGTTCTCCACAAACTATTGAGCCTGTTGTAGACTCGGCCAATGTAGTGTGTGACATGTGGCATTCGCCGTGTCTCCAAGTAGTTGAATGTTTTCGTGCTGAAATGCTGGGCCTTCGTCCTTAATGCGTATTCTGCAACGTGAGTGTAAGTTGGTGTTGAACACGCCGCGTCTCGTACATCAAGAATCGGGTGCGTGCATGTCGCGCCCCTTTTCTCCAGTGGCAGAAAACATGCCAACAGGGTGTGGCCACATACCACGAGTCTCCGCCCGCTACGGCTTCGACCCGCACGCTTGCATCAAGCGATTTATCACGCCGAATGTTTGTAGATCGTGCGAGTTTGGCAATAAAGAAAAAAGTTGGCTACCTCGACGCACCTTTAGAAACTTGCATGCAACGTCCGTCGCGGTACCCCTCACGAAACTCCCTACCGACATCGTGTAGTCGGAGCTGCTCTCCCCCCTCCCCCTGCATCTACGAGAGAGTGCCGTATTGTGTTGTGCCTTCGACAATTACCCCTTTCCCAATTTGCTTCGTTTGATGGCGACGCTTGCCGTTATCAACCAAAGATGCGTTTTTGTCGGTTCTATACCTTGATCGACAGTTGCGCCGCGTTTTTCGTTGCCGTTTCTGATTGGGTCGGTCACAGGACGGCGGGTACGGAGGCCACCAACAAGCATACCAACAGCACCAACAGCCCGGTGGAGGAGGAGGTGGAGGGGGGGGGGGGG